TCACCTAAGTCCTTTCCCTTTGTTTGAAAAGGTTCGACTTTGCCATTTAAGCCTCTTATTCTATGGATTCCAGGTTACTACGCAACCATAAACTGTACTACCATAAAGCAAGAGTAAAGCAAGGTTTCTACCATGAATAGTACATAGGTGCTACAGCCCTCTTAAAAGACAGATGTAGTAAATATCTGAGCTTACCTTAGAACTGGGAGCACAAGAAGGCATAAAACAGGCATTCCCAAGTTAAGCCAGTACAAACCAACACCAGAAGCAGTAAAATTTACTAACTTAAGTTCAGCACTGCAATAATCGCTGAAAGCTGCATGTCTACAGTGCTGTACTGCAGGAGTATTCCATATTGGTGATTACACGCTGTAACGTTATACATGAATGTTTTTATTGCTTTTTATTCCTGACCTGTTATTTTATAAGACCATAAAGTTAACGCAGACATGACAGAATAACGTAATTTGGAATGTAATTTGCTCAGTGAAACTGAATGTTGGGCATAAATCTGGTTTACATGGTCTTTATTATCGATGAAGAGCAGAAAAGTTTCAGTTTTCCTTTCAGAACTTACAGATTTTGTAGAGCTGACAACTGGAAAAAACACCATTTAACACAAAACAGGGAACCCTGCAGTATCTTTTTCTACAAAGATACTAAAAAGAACAGTCAGGTTGTAACTTCCCCTTGCAATATCTGAAACACTAGAGGTCAGAAGCTGATGCTTTTAACTGGCTGCAACAAAGATCAGATAATTCTAGGTCTTAACTATGTAAGCCCATGTTCTACAAGCTACTACAAAATCTGTTTTCAGTGGGTAAACTGGAAGGAAGCATAAGAGATAAGTTTTAGGACAAGATACAAGAGCCTTCTTCATAACTGCTGTTCAGAGATGAACAGCAGCAAAAGTTGCATTTTTTTTTTTTTAATCCTATACAGTATCTCATTTGGCTCCAGAAAAAGATACAGGTAAATGCTCTGGCATTTTGAAAAGTTTATTAGTATAAGATGGCTGTTTATACCATTAACTTATTTTAGACACTCAAGCAGGTGCAGTAGCAGTTGACTGGAAAACGTGCAGGCACCAATAAGACACTACAGCTTTAACACCTTTTTTAATACTTACTAAAACCACTATTTATTCTAGAAAACAGATATGTAAACAGCTAAAATTTTACATTTTTCAAATGATCAACACACATTCTAGAATAAGTAGTTTAATCTGACTAAGAAAATAATGTGTAATTTACCCAATATTCTTGAAAATCACAAGGAGAGGTTTCCACACAAGTGGAGAAAATATTTCTCTTACCTGAGGAATTATTTCACTTTCCAATCACATTACATATTTGTATTAAGCTCAAAGCTCATTTCGAGCAACTTCCAACTTCTGATAAGCATTTGGCATTCAAAGGCAAATTTAAATGTGACAAATTTGGTAGGAGCACTCTTTACACTAGTTTCTCATTAAGGCAGCTTGAAAGGCATGACAACAAAAAGAAAAGCTATTGTCAGGAAAATACTTCAACATGTGCAGTTCCTTTTACCATTAAAAAAGCCAATGTAAACATCTCTTTATTATCTTTTGGTATGTCAGACAGAAGACTTTCTCTCCCAAAATACTGTAGCTCTAGCTTTGTTTCTTAACCTACACTAGGTTATACAGCACAACGTTATTTCCCAATTATTGTAAAAATCTATTTCTTGGTATTTTTATCAAGTGATCGTAATACCATCCTAGAGTCTTTTTAAGGAATATTGTCAGTGTGCACCTCCTGAGACAGTAAATACCTCCCCTATTGCAAAACAAACTTCAAATTCTACCCCCATGCAGGTCAGATGCCCACTTACACATCATAATTCTAGAGGACATTAGCTGTGGTGTGGCACTAATCTGTACGCCAAAAACAGTCAGCACACTCGTACTCCAAACGTTTACTGGTCCACAGATGGAAACTGCCCAATAGATTTATGTTCACGTTTCATTTAGTAGCTTATTAAGAAAGCCCAAGCAGCTTCAGCTTGGCTTTTTCATTCTCAACTATAAAGCCATATGATGTAGATGAAAATTGTTACTCTTAAAACTGACCCAGTCATGAGGCATCCTAACATTAATACCAGAGTCACCATTTGTACTCAGTTCAGAATCTGAACCCAACTTGACCCGCAATAGAGGGACAGGGAATTAGCTAGGTTGAAAGTGACAGGAAAGTGGGACAAACTGAAGAGTGAAGGTATAACAAGTTCTGAATGGAACTGAAAAAGTACCGCCTTAGATAAGGTACTTCTAAGTACCATGAAGTACCTTATCTAAGTACCTTAGATAGCAACACTGATGAATTCTTGCAGGTTTTCTCTTCAGCTTACTATTTGCAGGATATGGCTGTTGCATTTACTTAATTTGTTAATGTACTGCAGGGCAACCAAAGATAACCTTCTTCCAGAAAGAACTACTTGCCCTCTACAATCCTTTTGCTTTTCTGGAGAAGCATGTTTTCTGTTCCTCCCAGGCTACTGCTACCAGCCTTCATTTCACCTCCAGGAATCATAACCTTCTGAAGAGCAGATTAATTCATTCTCCTCCTGAAGGGCTAATAGGATATATTGAGAGGGTTTCTAAACTTAGTCAGGAAAAAAAAAAAAATCAATCTTACATGGATTAAGTCTTTGAAGTCTTGTATGGCCCCAGCTATCTCAGCCTAAGAGCCAGTTATGGCAGATGGAAGCTCAGCTACCTAAGGTAAAGGATACCTAGGGCTGGGGAACAAAGGACTGTTGACCCAAAGGACAGGAGCCCTCACTCTCCATGGTCCAACTGCAGCAGGCTAGAAGGCTAGAGCCCATATTCAGGATATTCCATATACCCTTCTTGCCAATTTTGTTACTGTTATTGCTAGCTTCTGGCTTCAAAAGTGGCTGCTAAGACAGAACTCACTTAGGCCCCTTCAGGTCTGGGGATCTCTCCTCCCTCATCCAGCTCTGAAATACCAGAGATACTATACTTGTCTGCATACCAAGTTCTACACTGAGCGCTCCTCTAAGAGGAAAAAATAAAAATCTGTTTTAAACACAGAACTCTTTTTCCCCAACATTTGCTTCT